TCAAAAATTCAGAAAATAAGTTGTTTTAGCTTAATCCCACCCAAGAAAAAGAACCTTCGCCTATAATTCATAATTCTTTGCGTATCATGTCCAAAAAACAAAACTCCTATACATAATAAAAACAACAAAAGGGGAGAGAAAATAAAGGGGAAAAACTACTCTTGCTTCTTAAAAGTTCATAAAATTGTTTCCATCAATTGTTTGATTATGTAGTAACTAGATTTGCATGTCTGGTATAATCTCTTGTATATTATAGTCCTAGATTTTCTAGGTTGTAAGATTTTATTAGTGTGTTCGAATTTAATAACTGGTGACTCCAGATTTTTCCATCCTTCCTTAAAATAGTAAAACGCATATAATAAATTGAACAAAACTTTCCCATTTCCACTCTCAACCATTAAAATTCACACTCTAAATTTAGCCTCTGCTGAAATAAGCAATGTTGCAAATTACTCTCTTTCCATTTTTCCTTTCTCTCACCCAAATCACAAAAATTTTCCGTCATTTTCCCTCTCAGAAAATTCGAGCCATCATGCCCGGAAGTCAAATCTGAAGGCAGAAACGAAGTTATTACTACAAAATCAATCTGAATTATAGACCAGAAACATGCCAAGCAAGCTTAGAAAGGCCATTGGTGCAGTAAAAGATCAAACTAGCCTAAGTCTCGCCAAGGTAACAAATGCAGCAAATCTTGAAGTCGTCATCCTCAAAGCCACAACACATGATGAGATTCCCATCGAAGGACGTTACGTTAATGAAATTGTGAGTCTCGTATCATCCAACAAAGTTTATGCAGCTGCATGTGCTCAATCTATTGGCAAACGTATTGGGAAAACAAGAAATTGGGTCGTTGCCTTGAAATCTCTCATGATCATTCTCAGAATTTTCCAGGATGGTGATCCATATTTTCCTAGAGAAATCTTGCATGCAATGAGACAAGGCTCAAGAATCCTGAATCTTTCAGGATTTAGAGATGATTCAAGTTCTAGTCCATGGGAATTCACTGCTTTTGTTAGATTAATGGCTTTGTATCTTGATGAGCGCTTAGATTGCTTCCTAACAGGGAAGCTTCAACGAAGAATCACTTCAAGAATCATCAAAGCCCTTTCAAGAATCACAAGATGTTCAACGATACTGCGGGAATAATCAAAGATATGAAGCCATCAATGCTTCTTGACAAGATTACTTTTTGGCAACGCTTGTTGGACAGAGCTGTGGGGACAAGACCAACTGGGGAAGCCAAAACAAATCGTTTGGTTCAAATCTCTCTATACGCCGTCGTTCAGGAGACTTTTGATCTCTATAGGGATATCTCTGATGGTCTTTCTGTTATTCTAGATAGCTTCTTCAAATTACCATACAAGGCATGTGTCTCTGCATTTCAAGCCTGCGTGAAATCTTGCAAGCAGTTTGATGAGTTAAGTGATTTTTATTCATTTTGTTTAAGCATTGGGGTTGGTAGGAGCAGTGAGTATCCGAAAGTGCAGAAAATATCAGAAGAACTCTTGGAGACATTGCAAGAGTTCTTAAGGGACCAAGCAACAAGTAGCACTAACATTAATCTCAGTAATCACAATCATCATCGTGCTCAATCTTCTTCTTCTTCTTCACAGTACTCACCACTCTCAAAACACTTGTTTGTTTCTGCATTAAGGGAAAGTTCAAGTGTTCATTTTGAAGGGTATGAGAGATATGGGACACCAGAGAGTTCCTTTGAGACAGCGTCTGAAAATGCATCATCTCATTGTACATCTTTGGAGGATTTAATGATTGCTACTGATGTTGGGATTTTGACGCCAAGGAGATTTGAGATAGATTATGGTGATGATCAAGAAGATGAGAAGCAATCAGAGAAAAATGATGATTCATCTAGTGCTTATGAGTCTTGTTCGAATCATTCTTACACTAACGATCAAACAGTGGGGTCAAGTCTAGACCTTGTCAGTCTTGATGAGGTGCAGAATGACGGAGAAAAAGAAAAACGTGAGAATAACATTGTTAGTAGTAACAATGATAACACTAATAACAATGCATCCCAAGATTGTTGGGAGTTAGTTTTGGCAGAGACAGCAACTAGCAGTACAACAGAGAAAGCACCAGCAGATTATAATAATGCCATTGTTTCCTTGTTTGATCAATCTGATTTAATAGTGCCTCATCAACAGTACAATCCTTTTCTGGAATTTGATGATACAACCGTTTCCCCTTTTACCAATGCTATAGATCAAACACAGACAAGTTTAATTGATATCTCTGATGGTAATCAAACAGTAATGGTATCGACCTTCACTGGTGAAAGTTCTAGTTTTGATGTGGATTTGACATCAACTTTTGGTGACTTGAATTCAAACACTTCATGTGCAATGCCAACGAGCTCTAGTTTGGAAGATCTTACGGAGAATAGCATGGCTTTGGTACCTTCTTCTCAAGAAAATAATCATGGGATGAATTCTACTTCAATCTTTCATTCTCAAGGTTCATTCAAGATTAGTCCAAATTCAACTTCTGGAAGCAAAACATCAATCTTTCCTTCTCAAGGTTCATTCATGACTAATTCAGCATTAGCTTCCCAAAGTAATGAGTTGTATCAAACAAGTATGGCACCAACTTTTAATTCTCAAGATTTGTTTAAGATTAGTTCAATATCATCTTTTCAAGGTGATCATGATGCATATCAGATGATTACAAGACCAACTTTCAATTCTCAAAACTCATTCAAGTTTAGTTCAACATCAACTTCTCAAAGCCATGATGATTCATATCAAACCAGAACAGCACCAACCTTTTCTTCTCAAAGTTCATTCAAGCTTAGTTCAACACTATCACCCTATCAAGGCCATGATTCATATTATCAAACAAGCACTGCACCAACATTCAGCTCTCAAAATTCGTTCAATAATAGTGTAACATCAAGTTTTGATGGCCATCATTCATATCAGACGAATACAATACCAACTTTCAATTCTCAAAATTCATTCAAGTTTGGTTCAACATCAACTACTTCTCAAGGCCATGATGATTCATATCAACCTAGCACAAGACCAACCTTTACTTCTCAAAGTTCATTTAAGCTTAGTCCAACATCAACTTCTCAAGGCCATAATTCATCTCAAATGAGCATAGTACCAGCCTTCAACTCTCAAAATTCGTTCAAGAATGGTTCAACATCAAGTTTTCAAGGCCATGATTCATACTGGACAAGTACAACACCCACACTGAGTTCTTCAAATTCATTTAAGATCAATTCAGCATCCTCCACTCCAAGTCACGAGTCATATCATTTAAGCATTGCACCAACATTTTATGGCCACAATTCATATCAAACAAGCTTAGAGTCACCTTTTCAAGGCCATAATTCTTACATGATGGGCACAACATCAACCTCTGTAGGCATTAATTCTTACCAGATATGCAATGAACAACCTTTCCAGAGACATACTTCTCACCAGGCAAGCATAGAACCAACTCTTCATACCCAATTTCCCAACCAAGTGAGCATAGAACCAATTTTTCATGGTCATAGTTCATCTCAAACGAATTCAGAATCAGCTTTTCATGCTTATAATTCATATTTGACAAGCACAATGCCATCCTCTTATAGCAATGATTCATGGCAGATGAGCAAAGAACCAATTTTTGAGACCCATAATTCATATCAAACAAACACAATACCAAACTTTCAGACCCATAATACATATCAGACCACCAGCACAACACCAAGTCCAACATTTAGAATTCAAAATAATAATCTTTCAATGGTAGAAGCAACACCAACCATTGTTGCAAGGAATCCTAATAATGAAGATATGATTCAATCAACTTCTTGGGAGCAAAATTTTCTGGACACAAGGGTTGAACCAACATTTCGTGTCAAGGTTTCTAATGAACCTTTATTGGGAGCACCAAAGGAAGATGATCCGTTTGGATCATTATGGCCTAGTTCATCATTGACAAATAATGAGGATGCCCTTGAAAAATCAATGCAAAAACTAAGTTTAGAGCGGCAGAAACAGATCTGGACGGAGCAACAAAAAAGGATCATAGAAAAGCATTTGAATTGAGTTTGTACAAGTCATGTGATAGTGTTAATTAATACAATTGAGTTTATGAATTTAATTTGATTTGATTAGCCTTCTCTTTTGCTTCAATTTCCTTTTGTGTCTTGCTTTTGTTAGTTGTCACTCTTTCTTTCTGCATTCATTACAAAAGAAACTGGAAGTTAATGACATAAAATTTGCATAAAAAGAACTTCCATCACTAATTCTATAACCGCGACAGAATCATTAATGAAATTTTTCGTCGTTGATCCATTCAAAAAGGCTTTTTTCACAAGATTTACCAATAGAATTTTCCACCACTTATTAGTAGGACAACCAATTCCAATTTTGCAACAAAATATCTTATCGCAAATTTTATTATTAATCTGTCAGTGAATCTTAAATAGATTATAAACAATGACACACACTTATGATATTAATGTCATAATTTAAATTATGATATATTTAAATTATATTTATTTTTAACAAATAATTTAACTAATTTTTTAATCTATACAGATTAGTCATATAACTATTATATTTATAATAGGGTAGTATTTCGTGATCTAAATGAATCTGTGACTTTCTTATTGACCTAACCCCCAAACTTCGTTTTTTTCCCCCCTCATAAACGAATCCAAAACTTTGTTAATCATGTCACTTTTCTTATGATTTTCTTATTCATTTTATGGTGCCTTTTTTTTTTTTGGGCCTTCGATGTGAACTTTAAAAAAGATCACTAAAACAAAAGGCAAGTAAGCATTAAAAGCGCAAAAAGGAAAAGGCTCTTCCCTCTAGCTGTTCAGGCCGGCCCAATAATTTCAAAAGCCCAAGTCCAGCAAATGGGCTTTTATTGAAGTTCGGATTATTTTGAATTTCAAATTATAATAAAAAAATGTTGGCTAAAAATCCTGCAACATGGGAGTCCTTTTTGCTGCACAGACTTCAAAGTTGGAACTACGCAATCCCACAAAACTTACCTTTCGACACCTATCCCCCAGTCCCTGCAATGGTAATTTCATTGAGGAAAGTCGAAGATAGTGATTTCCAAATTTTCTGAAGCGAAACTGCGAAAGCTTCAGAATCTCACAGAGCCTTTACTCGATGGAGATTGGCTCTTCCCCCTCAACTCTCTGCTTTAAACCAGCACTACAACCACTAATTAAAACTAGTACTAGCGGTTCTACTTGCTGCTGGAGGAACAGAAGAGTCTTGGCACGCAGCTTCTCGGTCTCTTACCGGAAGTTCGTCGACTTTGCTTTGGAAGAAACCAGACGCCACACTCATTTGGTCCCTTCGCCTTTACAGGTATGGGCGGATGTCTGTACAACTTTGGATTATGCCCTCTTTCTTGAATCTTAGGGTTCTTGAACTGGTTGTAGTTGATTGTTAAATTTGTATTTAATCCTGGTGTCTGGCTTGACATTGAAGTTGAAAAACAATTAAATATAAGCATTTCAAGTTGGTAGGATTTGAACTGAGGACTGTAGGGTATAACTAAAGACATAATATCGATCGAATTTTTAAGCAATTCTTTGTTTTCTGAATGAGTAAATGTGTGGATTCTAGTTGCAGATATATGGACACTGGACACCAAATTTCGTAATGCATCTATGATTGATTGATTTACTCTTTCTGTAAGTTGTGCTTGTTACCAAGGGGAAAATATAGAGAACAGAAACAAAAACGATGTAAGTCCAATAAAATGTCCCTGCAAATGTCTTTGGTCCAAAATGCCGGGGGTGGGGGGTGGTTATTATGTTGGTTACGTTTTTAGAGTATTGATGCTCACTCTTGGTTATTTATAGTGTCTAAAATATTTGCCTTGGAAACTTGATTATTGACGACATTCCATTCATTATGGCGATCAATACCCAAAAAAGTTTCTTTATACGAATAAGTATATATACATTCCATTTATGCTAGGGTAAACACCGAAATCTGTGAAGCACTAAAATTTAAAAGGGCAGTTGTGACCAACATATGGGCATCAATGCCCATAATGTGCTCGTACTTCTGATAGAATGTTACTTCCAATTTTGAAAATTTTTTTATAACTGGACGCCTCATAGGCATGTGTAACTAGTGTCTTAGAGAATTCCTAAATACATTAGGTTGAGGAAATTTTACAATTGAACATTGAAAGTAAACAATCACTTTGGTCAATGTTTCATTTTCCTCCTTTTTTTTTTTTTAAAGTTAAAGTATATTTTACATTTGTTTCATGACTCTATATTTTTCAGCTTTTGTTGCATTGTCTTGTTCACCAAGCAGTCTCCTGATCCTTCCCTGTATTCATGATTGTTTTTCTTTGAAATGTATTTGATACCCTTTGTAAACCCATGGTACTCCTGAAATATTTCACTTGCTTTAATTTTAGTTTGTGCACAAGGTGATGTTTTAGGTTACTAAATTGTTGATGCAGTCTGTGATTTAGGTTGCTGGATTGTCGGTAGTATCCTGTCAACATTAACAAATGCTTACAACGAAAATTTTTCTTACTAGGAAAAATTCAGTTCCATCAATTCCAAGGATGGTAAAGGAATGCTTCATATGCGATCCTTTCAAGCTGCCAAGATTAGGCTTCTGCGAAGTTTGAGCATTGAAACCAAAACAGTGCAGGTATTCCATTCCTATTTGGTTAGTAAATGATGTGCTTTACCTTTGATTTTAAAGTGTCCACTAATGCTACATAACTTCTGGGTTCTTCCAAGTATACTTATTTGTAATTTTTAAGTATTTCATTGTCAATGTTATTTAATTTGATGGAGCAAGTAGGATTGGTTCTCAGTTCTCACTACCATCTAACTAGTGCTTCTGTTGTGGCTGTTAATTTATTATAGCTAGAATGATTGATTGCCCTCAATATTTATTTGAACACCCTGATGTCAGTTGTTGCTTACCCCTTTATCTTCATTCATGAAATGCTAAGTTACTTTAAAAGTTCATCTAAAACAGTGTATGTAAACCAGGTCCAGTATACTTATTAAATCATTGATCAGCGAGAAATGACAGAAAACTCTGATTGCCGAAATCAAAGATAACAACATTCTCAGCAAAACTATCTCAGCTTCCTGTGCATTGGAGAGGCACAGGCCGAAACCATCCCCAAATCTTCCATTGCTTTTGCCTATCTTCATCACTGGTGAGCGAATCTTGGTGATATTAGAAGTAGGGGAGCCTGTGACTGCATTGCTTCTATTGTGATTGCTAAGTCCATTCACCTCTTTCTGAATAGCTTCTAACAAAATAACCCATTGTATCCATTCTGCTCTCTAGGTGCTCTACTCCATGCTTTGTTTTTGTCATTCTAGCCTCCAATGCCTCTTCTTGTTGCTCCATTCTAGTAATTACGATCTCCCAACACTCTTAGAACCATCTCAGCTTCCTTTTTATTTGAAAAGCATAGGCTCTCCCAAAATTTTCCTTACGCTTCTCTCTCCCCAATGCCTCTGCTTGTTGCTCCCTTCTAGTAATTACCTATGCACAAAACCATTCTTCTCTTGCCTCTAACGGCCAAAACAAAAATTCCCCAGTTGCTTGTATATTAAGTCTTGAGCCTGGGCTTCCTTCTTGAGTAAGTGAATTGAGGTCAGTCTCCATCATAATGTTTTAAACAGATCTTCTAAACTTGTCGTTCTATATATTTTTTCTTGCAAAACCTCTTTACTTGAGACTTCCTTAGGGTGTAAAACCCAGACAGCTCCTAATTCATTAGTAACTGTAGTAATTTGCTGTCAACAGATTATGCTCCACGTAGTTTCTTTTTCAATGTTTTTTTGCCTGGCTTGAGGTGCTCTTTTTTGTATTTGGGCCATTGACCCTTTTCCCTACGCCAAAAAGAAGAAGAAGAAGAAGCTATCAACTCTGTCACAAAGTGTTGTTTATATATACATGCGTATTGCAATACTTCAAGCTTTCTGTAGTTCTCAAAAAGTCCTGACTTTCTATTATTGTTTTGGCATCCCTTCTCAACTGTCGCAATTCCAATCGCTGGATTTGACACTGCTGCATCTTTGCTTGGTTTTATTTTCCATAAGACCATTTCCATCATCAATTGTTAGGGATCCATTTTGATTGAATATGCATTTGGCAAATATAATTACCCCACGATTACAGCAACCTATTGATTTGTTATTTTTCCTGATCACACTCTTTTTTGTATAAAGCATCACATTTCATCCTTCTTGCTGTTATTATCCTCTACTCACTCCACTTCTATTTCTAATCATAAAGATTACCATCTATGCATACGCACACACACACAGATAATGAAAACAGAGTAGAATTATTTACTTCGTGGAAATCTTTAAATGTTTTTTCATGACAAATTGAAGCTATAGGAAGAGAAGAACATAAATTCTCCAGATTTTCTCGTCTTCATATGAATTAGGGCCCATTTTGACAGTCTGAGTGAATGAAAGAAAAATAAACAGAAGTCCTCGTGAAATGCTCTGAATCTTCTTTCCTGTGGGTTGAGCTAGAAATTATCAATGCATGGTACTTGCTGATTCTCTTATTTGCAATAAGCCAATAACTTTTTCTTGAACCGTTTTGTGCAGGTTCTGGATTTTGCTGTCTTTCCAAAAGTAGAATATGACGTACCCATATTTTGTGCTAACTTTTTCACGAGTGGCAGATCAAACATCATTGTGCTGTGAGTTAGCATATTCTTTGTTAACTGAATGTGCTTTTTGTAGCTGTGAAACCTTCCTCCAACTTGTTGAGCGACAATGAAATTTGTACTATTTTTGTGGTTGCTGAATTTTTTCTTAAGCTAATGGAACTTCAAGTCAATGCATCCTGTTTAAGTGTAGTTCACAAATTTATAAAATTCCCTTGGGTAGAACTTCAAGTAAATTTTATTCATATTTAACTTTCTATTAGCATTTGTTGCACAGCATCTGAGTAATTATATAGCGTGCGACTTTACCTTATTATCTGGGCACAGCGCGCCAATGTATTTTAGAGGGAATGTGATGAGGTGAGGACTGGGCCTCAGTTGATTCATGTTAAAAGAAAGCCCAAGGGCAATTGAGGGACTGTAATTCCATCAGAATGACAGTTAAGTCTCAAAAGACTAATTTAATGACAGTTAGGTCTTCGAACATTTTGAAGGAAGATAGATGGGTTACAAATATCATATAAATAGATGAAAATATGAGTCTTGGTTGCAAATCACTAGAAGTAAGGCCATTTTAAGTCCCTTAGACTCCTATTTGCAGTTGTTTCTGTAGATATTTGCAGCTCATTTTCTTTCAAAAAGTTTTAGGACCTTATAGTGATTAAATTGGTCTTTTGGGACCTAACTTTTATTCTCCCTATATTTTACTAGACCATAATGTCACAGTTTCATTAATTAATTAAAAAGATCAGTATTATTGGTAACCCTGATTGAACTAGGTGAAAATAAATATTGTATTTACAGCGAATTAATTATCCCCAGCAGACTTTTGTGAAAGGATGTGTCATTATTTTTTGGACAAGGTTTACATCTCTTTTTTATCAGTTTATGTTTTGAAAATATCAGAATGGATTTTTTTTTTTTTAATTTTTGGATATTTTGATGTGGATTTGTGAGGTATTAAGAAGGCTTAGGGGGTGTTTGGTTACCAAAAAAGCACTTTTTAAAAGTGCTTTCATGCAAATATAGACAAAACTCTTTTCATACATTTACTTCGTAAATTATAAAATCACTTTTAAAACTATGATCCTTAGAGTGGCTTCCTTCTCTCCTTTTGTCTCTTTTCCTAGTCCCTTTTTTTCTTTCCCTTTCTTGTTTTTCATAGTATATTCTGTGAATTTTGTTAGCATTATTAGGAAATAATAATTGTTCAGTTGTTCTCTTATTACTACAAACACAGGGTCTTAACGAAAGTTGAGAAGTCATGTTCTAATAATCAGGACTGCTGCATACAACCATCACAATCTTTACTTGCAATTTCTTCGACTCTTCTGATGAGTCAGAATTTACATAGATTGACTTTGATTATTTAGAGTGGCAAATCTCAAGAATATGATTTTATGTGGACTTAGTTTTCCTAATAGTTTGCTTGATCTAGTAGTTTTCTAATAATTTGCTTGATCTAGCATTATAGTTTTTACTAGTAAATCTTCTAGCTTTGTATGAAGGGTCAATATAATTTTTTATTCTTGAAATTTGAGCCCTTTTTTAGTTTTGGTTCCTCATATTTCAAACCCGTAATTTTAGTTTTTGTAATTTAGTTCGTCTTAAAGTGTTGATGTATGGAGGTATAACGGTATTAAAATCTGTTGAAGTGACAACGAAAAGCCTTTCTTGACTCAATAACTCAGAACATGAGTGCCTAATTGGGGTAATATGGCTTTCCATTTGTTGTACTTAAATTTTTTTGGGTGCAGTGCTTTCCTTCAATTCTGTATACATCAATAAGTGATTTACATCATTAAAACTTGGTCAAAATAATTTAACTGTTAAATCATGAGTCTAAATTTTTGAAGTGTAACCCTACCAATTTCATGATGAATATCCTGATTTCTGTCACAGGCGAAAAAAATAGAAAAAGAATAAGCAGATATCTTGTTGGATTCCCTTCACCATTTTATGGTTGGCAATGAGTTTATAGCACTGTGCCTCGCCTTTATTTTTAACGTTGTTGATGTCCTTAGCGTTTTGAAGTTTACTTTTCTTTTGGTACTGGCAATATCACAAGAGTTCTGCACTTCTCCTTTTGTAGCTTCTAAGTTCAAACATTACAAACAAATTACAGTGTTTTATGTGGAGCACTAACTCTGGAGCATAGCATTAAAAATTACAGGGACCTTAACCCATTGCATGATATTATTAATCAGCAGGGTTACAAGGAAAAGTACTTTAGGAGCTTAATTCCTCTTGGCCTAAAATATGCTGAGGTAAATGCAAACATATTAGTTTTGCCACTTTAAGGTTATCAAGTGCTTCTTTGAAGCTTAGCAGTTCTTTGACTTCTTTCTATAATTATCTAGGTTTCTTAACAGAACACGAATTTCATGCAGCTTTTACCGTGGGGAGGGAAGCTCACAAGCGAGTCCATTCAATTTTTTTCACCCATTGTCATATGGACCAAGTTTCCTTCAAGCCCAGAAAACTATGATATTCTGTATTCTGCATTCCAGGATTACTACAAGGTGTTGATGACACGATCTTTTCTTATTATTCTATATCTCAAATGTATGATGTTTTAAGGGTCATGATTTTAATTCCTTTTCAAGAATATTATCCAATAAAATACTAACTTTTCTGTATGACCCATAATTTTCAGGCGTGGCTGGAATTAGAAGCCAGAGCTGTTGAGGAGACAGATGCATCTCAGATTTCATGCAATCGTGAAGCACAGCATAGATATCTAACGTGGAGAGCAGAAAAGGTAGCTAGATTATATTGGAACTCATACGGTTATATGATTGGTCATTTGACCATATTAACATTTATGCTTGCCACATTATTACTAATTTATCATCGTCCACACCCAGCATGTGGATACAGAGCTCCTATAATCTTCCCACAAAATGTTTTAAGGAAAGGAGAAAATAGTGCATTGATGATGCCTTGGTTACGATGTCCCATTATTCATATGGGATATCATATGCTGCTTGAATTAACCAAGCCATAGATATGCGGCAACAGCATCTCAGTAGTGTTAATATTGTCAACAAATTCCTAATGAACTAAAGGCCTAAGCAAAAGGAGAGAGTGGTATACGAGGATCACAACATATAATGGTCTCCAAGGATAGAAGATTCATTGCAGATTTTGCATTTCTTAGATATCAGTTTAGACTGATAATTTTCCCAGGTGTGTAGGTCATCCTATGAATTTCACATTCTTATCAATGTCATAGAAGATTTGGTAACTCGTGCTACAGCACATAACAGCTATTTTCCAGGATTTAAAACAGGATTTTATTGATACTAAACTTTGGGAGGTGAATTTTATGTTTACCAAGTAATCCTTGCCGTTTAACAATGACTTAGACTGAGTATACGCTATATTTGTAACGTATCATTTATGAACTTGGTTCATGGAAACTTTTGAAAAGTAGGATCCAGGTCAGGGACTCTTGAAGAAGCTTATTGGGGAGACGCTTGCGAAGGTAACCTTAATATGAGATTAGTACTTTTCCTCAACAAACTTGAAGGGCAATTCCAAACTTATTGTCTTGTATCTTATAGGACTTGCTGAGGAGCTTTCTATTTAATGGAGTTGATGAACTTGGAAGCAAAATGTTCCTTGATTACTTTCCAGAATTTCGTTGCGAGGACGGCAGTGTAAATAAATCACACAGCATTGTCGGAAAATCTTATGAAAATCGCCCTTGGGATGCGAGAGGTGAATTCATCAGCAGCTGATTTCACTATCTAGTTTTGGTAACTTGCTGTTTTATTTTCACCTCTTCTATTTGATCTCTTGTTTTCCCCTCACAATTTTGGCTTCCCCATCCTCTGATTATGCTGTTCTTTGATCTTAAATGCAATATTTGTTACATGCCTATCTTTTACTGCAAAAGTGAGTGTTCTTAGTGCATCAAGGTGTCAACCAACCTCTAACTGATTGAAGAATAAAAGCCCTAATCTAAGTCGAATTGCTGCGTCTCAAAAGAAAAAGACACAGAAAGGGCCTCATTCGAGCTTTAGTTGAGAGTCTCAGGGACGCAACTCTAGATAAAGGAAGTCCTCTATTTGTGATTGAAGTAGAGGTTATGAATAAAATAGCCCCACATCCTAGTGCCAATGAGGCTGAAAAAGGGTATTTTTTTCCCCCTCATGCAAATCATCTTAAATGATTTTGGCCCAATTTCTGCAGATAAGAGATTGAGATACATCCTCTCGTAAACCTGTGTTTGGTTGGGGTTTTTTAGAGGGGAGGAGAGAAGGGTGCAAGAGGGGGAGAGCTGTCGAGGAATTCTTGTACAGATTGTGTCATACTAGTATTATAGATATATTAAGCCATAATGAAAAGCTTATAGGTATCAATTTTGGTTTTTCCCCCTTTTTGGATGCATGGGGAAAACAGAACATAAAAAACACAAGTGAAAAGCCTAAACTAACGAATTGTTCATAGAAATATGCAAGACTTCCAAATACTGATTTGCTATATCTGCATGGGCCTCGTTGAAATTACATCCATCCTTCAGCAAGGAGATGGTTTTTGAAGAATTGCTCTTGTATCTAGCTCTTGCGTCTTGAGTGCCTCTAAGATGGGATTTCCTCAGCTTGTATACACAAAACCTATAAATGAAGTCAAAGAAAAATCAATTCTTTTTAGCCAAGTAAAAATTATGCAGAAATCAGTCATCTATATTATCAACTTGTGTATGGAGTTATGTAAGCATGTGCAAAAGTAAGGGTTACGGAAGTCTATTTCTTGCTTTGATTTTGTAAACTTGAGAGATTTTAAGCATTCATATTGAAGCAGTGTAAAATATTTTGATGGATTTCCTTTGAAGCACAATGCTGACTTTGCAATCGAAGCATGATTGGATGAGGGTAAAAAGCTATCAAGAAGCAGTAGTATCATTATGATGTTTCATCATATAGAGCTAATTTCTTGAGTTTGTCAAATACATAAAACTTTATCAACATTACTCTTCACATTATGACTCAAGTCATAAATGTTACTAGTACGATGCATTCTTATTTGATAGAAAATTAAAAAAATTTAGGGAAGAAAAACACAAATCACCCCTTTTGTGGGGCGGGTGACATTCATATGTCAAGTAAGTTCTTACTAAAAGAAACAAAACGTGTGCCTAGAACTGACACTAGTGCAAAATCAAACCTTTTTACAGCGACGATAAAATGCTTTCTATAACGGTTTTATAACTATGATAGTTAAAGGTCGCCGTAAAAGATCTGAATTATACCTTGGCATCACGTCTGGAACAGATGCTCGGGGAATGCCAAAAGTTTGGCATCCACTCCCAATGGGCACGCTTTCTTTATTCTCAGGGATTGTTCAAGTTATCTGAATCAAGTATCAACTTACTCTGGATTTTTGCCATCTTTCAACATTTCTGCACAACACACGCCACTCACACTTGCTTATTTTAAACAGTATTAACTTAATATATGATGTGGTAAAACATATAAGATGAGGTAAAATTTTTCAACTTATAACTTCTGTCACAAATCAATGGAAGTTAAAAAAAATAATAATAGAAAAGTCTACATGCGGTAAATATTTTTTGTTACTGCTAGACAAAAGAGAAGTCACCCTCCTATTAACAGAGGAACTGGAAGTGGAATTAAGAGTGTGATATATGAAAATTGATGTGTATATTCCATGCCAAAACAAAGAAGAAAAAACTGGATTCTTAATGAATTTTGTTTCTTATTCGCCAATTTTATCTCTTTTGAAGGGTTCAATTAATAAAAAATGAAAATTAAGATAGAAATAGAATTATCTATTATTTATTATTCTGAATTTTTGTCCAATATTTCAATAGTTGAAAGTAGGAAGTGAAAATGCAAATGTATAAACTTATGAGAGCATTTTATAAATGTATATGTATATGTCATGAGATGGGGGATGCAGCTTGATATAGCCGTGGTTTTGAAGACAAATGAACACAATCATTATTACTATTTGAAACCTCTCTACTAAGCATCAAAATTTGGTGAAAGTTACAATAAAAGACTCAGAATACAAAATTTATTTTAAAATTATAACTTTAAAAACTGTAATATTTTTAGCTAAGTATAATAATAATGAGCCAAGAAAACTTTTATAAGAGTAAAAATTATATTTTAATCATAAAGTACAATTTGTAATTTACAAAGAGCTAGTAATTGACAACTTTTTATTCTTTAAAAGAATTTCTAGTTGAAAGTTTTTATACTACTTTTACCGAGTTAAGGAAGTTTCCTACAATGTTGCAGGACTCGAAACACGCCTTTCCCTCTGTCAGGCATTTTTACTGTAATAAATCAGACTATGAGAGCCATCTCAAGAGAAAAAAACAAATGATGATTACCTTGGATAATAATATTTTTCTGGCCAGCAATATTTTTCTTAGCTTGATATTTTTAGAAAAGTAAGATAATTTTTTTGACGTGAAATCCGTGAGGAAAATACCAAAAGAGACGTGGAACAAAATCTTTTATATTTCATAACGCGTAGAATCAATGATATTTATTCTGCCTAAATGCAAACTCTCCCTTACACAACATAATATAATTACCTACTACTCAACTATTAAAAAGAGTAAATGATCACTGAGTGACCGGAGTATAAACTCACAGATTATACTCTAGATGAAGGAAACCCTCTATTTGTGATTGAATCAACGACGACAACCTTCGATCCTTCTGTTGCCAGTGAGGGGAAACAAAGGACAATTATAATGAGGTTCTAGGAAAGGAAAATAATTACTAAAAAGTTCTAATAACAACCTAAACAGTCTGTAATGACAAGTTCTAGGACAGAAAATGACAACTTCTGGGACTTTTTTTGTAATTTTTTTTAAAAAGAATCTCACTATAATTGTCCCAAGAGAAAAAAAGCCCAAGGATATCCCCCCAGGCAATTCGTCTTAAATGATTTTGGTCCAATTTCTGCAGATAAGAGTTTAAAATACATCCTCTCGTAACCTTTTGTTTGGTTGGGGTTTTTCAGAGGGGAGGGAACGGTGCAAGAGGGCGTAGGGCTGTGGAGAAATTCTTGTACAAACTGTACTAAACTTATAGATATATTAAGCCATAATGAGAAGCTTATATATGTACCAATTTTGTTGTTTTTCCCCCCCGTTTTGGATGCATGAGGAAAACCAAACAGCATAAAAAGAACATAACAAAAGTGAAAAGCCTAAACTAATGAAGTGTAAGTAGAAATATGCAAGACTTCCACATTCCTATTTGCTATATCTGTATGGGCCTCATTGATTTTACATCCGTCCTTCAGCAAGGAGATGGTTTTTGAAGAATTGCTCCTTGTATCTAGCTCTTGCTTCTTGAATGCCTCTAAGATGAGATTTCGCCAACTTGTATACACAAAACCTATAAATGAACTCAAGGGAAGATCAATTTTTCAGCCAAGTAAAAATCATGAAGCATACATGTTGTCTATCCCAAGTTATTTTATACTCCTCCAGTCCTTATTATAAGACCCAATTTGACTTTTTATTTGGTCCTAATTATAAGATCCAATCCATTTTGTCTCTTATATTTATACATTTTTTTCCAAGATAATCCTTTTAATAATGATAGTTTTAGCCAATATACTTAATTAGCAAGGATATTTTAGGAATGACAACACTTATTTATTATAAATAACCAAATTAACTTACTTCCTTAATCTCCTCAAATAAGTCAATTGGGTCTTATAATTAGGACTGGAGGAGTATTTCAATAAGCCTAATAGTAACAAATTTAATCGAAACTGGAGAGATTTTGGAAGAGTTTTGGAAATCTACTTGCTTTAATTTTGTAAAATGATTCGAAAATATGTACCTAGAGCTGATGATACTGATGCAAAAACAAACTTTTTACAATGACCAAAAAAGGGCTTTCTATGACAATTTTATAACTAGTATCGATGGAGACATGCACCTTGATGTAAAAATATCTAAAACATACCTTCACATCAATTCTGAAATAGACGCTCCAGGGAATGCCAAAAGTTACATCCACTCCCAATAGCTACAGCCTTCTAAATCAATATTAGCTTCGTCTTTTGATTTTTGCCATCTTTTAACTTTTGACCTGCAGAAAACGTGCCACTCATAATTGCTTATTTTAAACAGTACTGAATTATAATATATATTGTAAAATGATATTTCGAGTTGGTTCAGTTACATCAAAACAAGACCATTGAACGTGCATAATATATACTTGACCTATGGCGATTGGATCGTGTATATATTATTAATATTCCCTCCTAAACCCTTTTCTGTGGTCCTTACCACATACAAATGACTGCGTAAAATCTTCTTCAACTTATGAAATGAGAATGAAAAATTAAGGGAATGCATAAGATCTAGTTTGACTTTGATGGAACGTTGAAACTATATGCGTGTTATACAAGTAAAATACAAAAAATAAGAACAATTTTTTAAGAAATGAAAACAAACCCGGCCAATAATATAAAACGAACAGCCCCTATGGAAAGGAAGTAATTAAGTGGATATAATATTTATAAGAATTGAAAGGTTATATTAAATTAATTTATCAACCAAAAATTTAAATATCCATCAAACATGCATTAATATAAAAGATAAATTTTAATCTAAAACCAGAAGTGTTGATCTACGTACGTTGGAAGTATAGATTCATCTTCTTCAACAACGAACTGATCATGATGTCTGGAGCATTGAGTATAACGTCCGTCTTTCTCAACTTCAGGTTGTATAACATCAGTGGCCTGTAATATTTTCATCGTTGTCTCAGGGCCCAGTATTTGCAGACCCATTGCTCCATTAAGTGCTCTTTTAGCAAGTAATTCAGCAATGCCATTGCCGTCTCTGTGAAAGACCTAGATATCCACAAACCAATCCCACTCTAGCATCCCTTTGATTTCCATGATGAGAGCAATATCCTTGTGCGTCTCAGGGACTTTAAATTTGATCAATCGAACAGCCTCAGCGGAGTCGCTTCTCAAGATAACATCTCCAATACCAGCGTCCCAAGCTCTTTTGAGACCTACCAAGCAACCCCATAGTTTGGCTGTGAGGGTATCTCCGCCACTTAATTTCAGAAGAAAAGCCTCCTTCATACAATTGTTGCCATCTTTAAGAACGCCTCCACAAGCTGCTTTGTCATCTGAATGAGAATAGGCGCCATCCACTTCTACAATACCATCATCAGGTCTCGGCCGGGGACTATAACCTCCACTGTTGATGTCTGGATCAATCTTCACGTAGTTATTGATGATACTACAACCTTCGTCCCCTGTTCTTCGCCATGCTTCAACATCTTCTTTACACACCGCTCGCCACCCACACTTGCTTATTTTCATCCTTGGTGACTTATTTTCCATTGCATTCTCAGAGAAAAATACCATTTGAAGTCCATTGACAACCAAAGAGGAATAAGGAATATATTTTATATAAAGCAGAGGACTATAAGCCGGATGTAGATAAATACTCTGCCCCCAATGCGAGTTTGGAAATTCATCATTAGGAAATCTGCAACTCCAACAAATTCCATCCCACCCCTCTCCAAATGTGAGATCGTGTTCTATGACTAAGCATATGGCTATGCCCCACCATTCACGTGAACCACAATAATCAGGGGATATATTTATTATGAACGACACATTATTTGGACACCACCAGAATTCTTTCTCGCAAAAGTAGTTTTGATTATAAAACCATGATGGTACTCTGCTGCCTGGAATTGTTAATGAGTGCCAACGTGGACGGAGGGAAAAAAACTGGGGCAAAAAAAAGCAAAAAAAAAAAAAACAGATTGTTTGTATCAGAAGTATGTTGATTAACACGTAAGAAATGGCAATATATACGTACAAGTAAAATAAACTATATATTTATTGTCAAAGAAATTAAGAAAAAAATAGGTGATTCTAAAAACTCACAATTTCTGAATCCCCTCTTATAATTGCTGACTTCATATTTAAATGGTTGTGAACCTATAAGAAACAATTTTGCGTGTTAAAGAAGTAAAATGATAGAGGTGAAAGAACAATTAAAGACAAATAAAATAAACCTGAGGTTGAAATGATTCAATGAAATCCCATAATTGATCTGCACATCCGTAATGTTTTAGTGATGAACAACCTTCAGCCCCTATATGTAATAGATTTGACGGAAGTTGCGGCAAAGACCGAAGCCTTGGGCAACTCCAGAGATTAACAACTTTAAGCTTCGAAAGACTGGAAATGAGGCCAGATGGTAAGTCAATGAAATCGTTTCCACTTAGAGATAAAATTTCCAATGATGATAACATGCTGATGTCATCAGGAAGTGATCCATCTTGGAGATTGCAAAAACTTAAGTTTAATCCTTTCAAGAACGACAAAGACGGCGGCAACAAAAACTTTTTGGAGCTTGAAGGCCTTTGAAGAAGGGATAAGCAACTCCATGATGATGAAGATTGTGTTTCGCTATTGTAGTCACTAAATGATAACCCTTGTATAGCAATCCCACTCAAATGAAGCTGTTCCAAAGCTTCATTTTCATTCAAACTCTCTGGCAGCCATGAAAGCTTTGAGCATTCAGAAATTTTGATAACTTTCAGAGCTTTCAACTTGCTAACACTACATGGAAGACAAACCAGTTTTTTGCAATTTGTCAAATTTAATTCAACGAGACCAATCAAATTACCCAACGATTGAGGTAGTTTGGCTAGAGCAGTCTTCTCTAAATCAAGCTTCGATAGACATGCCATATCTTTTCCAAACTCAGGAAGTTTTCTAACTTTTGAACAACCCGATAGAATAAAAATCTCCAAGCTATTCATCTCAAATTTTTCTGGAAGCGTTTTAACTTCTTTGCAATCTTTCAAGTCAACAGTGACAAGTTTCTTGTGTTGCCCAAGAGACTGGTGAATTTTAACCAAGTTAGAACACCTTTGAAGAATCAACTTTTCAAGATGAGGAATTCCATCAAAATTTGGGGTTTTGATGAGGTATTCTGAATGAGATAGATCAATGGACTTCAAGCTTCGAAGAGACTAACAATAAGGGAAAAAAGAAAAAGAAAGAATAGATCACAAACCAGAGACTAATTATAATTATAATTTATTAAATTATGGACAAACAATTTAAATAAAAGGACTGTAAGTACCTGTGTTCCTCTCCAAAGTTCTTTTAACTTGCTATGCTGCATTTTTAGCACAACAAGCTGATTGAGTTGAGGTTGACTTGGCAAATAAAATAATGGATAGCCCTCCCATTCTATGACTTTCAACTCTTTGGAAAGAGACTTGAGTCCAAGCCGAAGATTCAATTGGCAATGTGAAACGTGTGAGCGACTTGAAATGATAAGTAACTTGAGATTACTCAGTTTTGAGAAGGCTTCAGGATGCCAAAATGCATCACATGACTTTTCTAATGTTAGCATTATTCCCCGGGTTGCTTCTGTCCCCTATAAAACAACAAGTCAAGGTAAAAATGCATAAAAGTCATGCAATAAATTATTATAAGAGTGCACAAACACAAGAACTTTGGAATGTCACCTTATTTCCTCCTAATACATGATTGGCATCATCCAAGGACAATATCCTAGAACGCTTGCTGGCATCACCAAGTGATTCTTGATAGACAACACGCTTAGCCACATTTTGCAAAATTTCATGCACCCACAAACGCCCTTCATAATTAATTACTAGTGATTTCTCAATAAGAACCCTTATTCCAATTTTTGTGTGAAGATCCTTATCGAACGTTTCTAAAATGTGTATGATATGATCTTCATCCATCCCATTGAAAAAGCAAGCAATATCCAAGAATATGGTTTTCTCCTGGTTATCTAATCCGTGAAGACTCACTTCAAGTATCTTCGAAATGTCCTCTGGAGGATAGTTCTTGAACTTAGCCAGTGCATATTCCCATTCCTCTATCTTCCTTTTGCAAAGAAATGAACCTAACACTTTGATTGCTAAAGGAAGGCCTCCAGCATATTCAATGACGTTTGTAGCAAGTTTCAAAAAAATTTCATCAGGTTGCCCTTCTTTAAAGGCATTTTGAATGAGAAGTTCACGGGACTCACTATCAGTCAAGAATTCAATGTCATATATAGCACTATCAGATACACCATATGATGATAGCAAATGCTTATCCCTTGTTGTTATCACTATTATGCTCCCTTTGCTGAACCATCCTTGCCTTGGAGTGAAATTTTCAAGTTGCTCAATATGATTCACATCATCAAGGACAAGTAGAATTTTTCTGTTGGTCAACTTGCTTTTTATTAACTCCATTCCTTCATAAGAATCAGTCACTTCCATACTCCTTTTATCTAAAGAAAAAAGAAGTTTTCTTTGCAATGAAATCAAACGATCTTTTTCACATGCCTCTCTAATATTAGGAAGAAAACAATGATTCTTAAAGTTTCTGCGCTTTCGCTCATAAAAGGCTCTAGCAAGAGTTGTTTTCCCTGCACCTCCTGTGCCCCATATTCCTATAAACCCATCTCCTTTTGATTCACTTTCCACGATTGACTCCAATTTATCTAATTTTGGTTCAATTCCAATTAACCTGCCAAGACTAGATGCTGATTTATCAAGCAACTTTGACTCCATTTCTCCAACAAAGCTTTCAATGAATTCTGCTTCATACCTGCATGTGAAAATAAAATTATAAAGTGATCTTTTTTACATGAAAATAGCGTGATCGTTTAAGTCAACTGAATTTTAAATTTTTATGCATAAACAATTTTTTAAAAAAAGCAGGTAATGTGAGATGTAAAGAAAACATGACCGCAAATTTAGCAGTTTTAAGTTTACCATGAAATTTAGTTTAAATTAGTGGAAATAGCAATAATTTCATTTATAGAAGAGTTGTACATTGCCTCTGGTATTTACAGACATAGACGGTTATGTTTATTTGTCCACACGCTTTAATAGCTCCTAGATATTCAAATCATTTAATTAGCACATCATAGTTTGAGTTTCTCTTTTCTGGTAGTACGTCTTTTTTTTTTTTTTTAAATTTTATTTGAGCACCTTTTCACAATAAACGTTGTCAGATTACAAGTTCGAATCTAACGCTATTTAGTAACGTTTTCAACTATCAATTTTTTTTATTAATTATTCATTATTTATTAATAAACAACGAATTTCAAAATTTAGAGAAATTATCAATTTTTAATATTAATTTTTTAATGGTTGAATATTACATAATAATAATTATTTTGTAATTTTACTATATACTGTTTGTGTGCAATTGTATATTCAAGAAAATGTCCACTTCAGAATTCTATCATTAATCATTAATTGAGTTCAAGTCGAAAACTTAAATCATCTACAGCCAATACAGTCCTACAAGTCTATTTTACCAAGAAATATAAATAAAGGTCTACAATTAGATAAAAGGGCAAAAACATTAATTACCTTTCTATTTTACATCAATTACGTACATAAATATTATTTTTATTTCAAAAATATATATAAACCTTCCTCATATGTTATTTTTATCTGTTCAATCATTAGTTTATTCAATTGTTAATTGAATGTTAAATTTAACTTTGAAACTTTTATTTTATCCAAAGTAACTCTATTTGACATAAAAAATTATTTAAATATTTATATTTGTCAAAAACATAATTTTTCATACAATAGAAAATAATTCTAATTCATATAATTTCAAACTTTCTAGATTGTTATAAAATTTATTAATTATTAATTTTGATTATTTAATGAAATTGTATAGTTTTTTTAGTACATGTATTGAAATGTATTTATTTAGATTTCTTTTAAACGGCTAAGATTATGTTTCAAATGCGTATATTATTCATCATATATAACAAATGATATAAGTTTAACAGACTATATAAATAAAATAAATTTGTAACCTAAAATTTTTAAACATTTTTGTAATAAACATTTATAAATTTGCAAATATATTTGTTGGGCTGAATTCATAAACACGTTTAGTCAAGTATATATTTATTAAAGAAATTACTAAAATTCTTAATTAAGGTTTTTTATATCTATGCTAATTAAATTACTTAAGCTTTTACCCAATATAATTAAAACATTAGAAAAATAATTATTTGCACGAGAAAAATCAAGAAAAAGAAAAAGAAAACACTTAATTCTTCAAAATAATTTTATCAAAAATTAGGAATCTAGTGTGATGAAAAATAAGTTAGTAAATAAATATCATTCCAGTACAAATTTAATTAAAAAATATCATTTTAAAATATTCTTAACAAAGTTAAGGATTTAAATTAAACTTACGTGTATGTGTTTAAAAATAGATAAAAGGTCAATGTAATTAAGGTAAAATGGATTAAAGGATTTTTTTAAAAAATAAATGACATTTATAATACGTTTTAGTCTGCTCCCTACCTATTTTAGGGAGGGACCGAGTCACCCGCCCAAGACCACACATCCTATCCCTAGGTGAATAGATCCTACAATCTCCTCAATAAGAGAGGATGTGGCTAATCTTACAGTTTAGAGTATATTTGAATATCAATGTCCTTAATTTTCAACAAGAAAAGACATGGTAACTATTAAGAGAAGTGGAAATTACCCGTCGTTTAACTCCCAACCACATATAGCAGCAACTTTTTCTAAATCATCCCTCCATTTTTCCACCTTCATTTTGTCATGTGCAAATCTTTCTTCATGCTTTCTGAATGCCTCTGCAAAACTTCCCTTTTGTTTCCTAACATCAGATGGATCTACACCGTAAAATATCGGAAATACTTCAAGACTTGTCTCTTCCTTCAACTGCAGGATCTTTTGAAGCTCATCCAAACACCAAGTTGAAGAAGCATAATTTAGAGAGAACACAATAATTGCAGAACGAGATTCTTCAATTCCTTGTAATAAACTTGGATTAATAGATTCTCCCCTTTCAAGTTCTTCCTCATCCCGGAAAGTTCTTAATCCTTTGCGTTTTAAAGCAGCATACAAATGATCAGTAAAATTTTTCCGAGTATCTTCCCCTCGAAAGCTCAAAAACACATCATACTTCCTTCTCTTAGTTGAACCAGAAGAGCTTGAAGAACACCCAACTCCATCAGCATCACGCGCCATCGCAAGGATTTGGAATCTGAATCCAAACAAAAGTAAAAGCACAAAACCAGAAAGAATAATACATAAATAATGGGAGCTTCAACAAACAGTGCAGCAATCAGTCAGGGGGATACTGAAGACGGGAGAAATTGGACCAATTTTTCATGATTTGATCAGGCTAAATATATGAGAGGCGTGATTTGATCCAGCCTGCTATGAATCAGGCAAAACTTTGAGGCAGAACATAAATCTAATTCGCCGATTCAAAAGTTCATGAAAATTTCGAAGATAGTCTAAAAGAATTGTCAAGGAAGAAAATATATCCCAGCTTAATTGAATTGACAACTAACGAGCTAGCTAGAGGTTGACCTGCTCAGCTGCGCCCCCATCTGTCCCTTAATTTTGGGGGCCCTTTTCAATATTTGAAAAATCGGATAAAATTAAAAAATGAATCATTTTTTGTCTATGAAATATCAAAATATCACTCATTTGGAAAGGACCCCAAAATTAAGGCGTGGCTGGAATTGCAGCCGGGGGGAGCTGACACCCAGTGCCTAACTATGTTTATATTTCTTACAGCTCATGGGCTATTTATAGTTCAAAGCAAAACTTCTGTATTCAAAGAAAGCATAATCACAAAATTAAAGCTTGAAAGGCTAAATCCATTTCACAGGGGAAAAAAAAAACAAAATAAGAGAAACTAATCTTAAACTGACAGTGGTAGCCATGACAGAAAATAGATATATAACATAATTAGAAAGGAAGAAAACAGGAACCTGATGGATGAAATAAGTGAAAGATTTCTTTGATCTGCGACCTGATCGGAAGAAGATGAAACCCGGTTATGCACAGATTTGTAATTTTGAGGATGAAGCTTTTCAAGTCAACTCAAGTCTTCTCTTTAATTTAACAAGCTTTTAAAAATGTTCTTTTCACACTGGGACTCAAACCGCGTTGCTCTCTTCCCCTTTGCAAGAATTTTTTATTATTGATCAGCTTACAGGTGTTCTCTGAAATTGGGACATAAAGAATACTTTTTCAAGTCGCGATTTGAGGGCTTTAACAAACTAAAGTGAACCTAGGCTTAGAAAAAGTTTAATACTCCTTCGGATTCCAAATATATGAGCTATTTTATTAGGATGCTTGTAGTTGATTTTTCTTTGTATGATAGATCTTGAACTCTTTAGCTTGTAAGAGCCTGATTTAGCTATCGACACGGACTAGACTAGTAAATTGCTCGAATAGCTGGTAATAAGATTAAAAAAAAGCACCAAATACGGGATAATAGTATTTCTAAAAAAAATAAAAAGAGCGTGATTTAGCCTGGAATTACGTATCAGATTAAACTCATGACAGCATTTCTAGTTGAAAGAATTTCACACAACTTCTTTTTTTTAAAAGAATTTCTAGTTGAATTTTTTTATATTATTTTTACCAAGTAAAGTTCCTTCAATTTGTCAGGCATTTTTACTATAAATCAGACTACGAGAGCCATCTCAGCCACAACTTCATCTTTGCCTATAAATTAAATACAAGGCCTTGTCTCTTCCTTTGTGCTTAAGTTTCTCAAACCAAAGCCTATATTGAGGCAGAAATTGCAAGATTCAGCAGTCAAAAGAAATAAAGAGATCATTCTCATCTTGGATAATAATGATTTTCTTTTTTTTTTTTGGGCCGGCAATAATTTTTTTAAATTTGATAATTATATTTTATTTGACGCATTAATTATTTTTAGAAAACAGAGATAAATTTTTTGATGTGTACTGTGTGAGAAAAGTACCAAAAGAGACTCTGCGATCCAACTCCACGTATTTCATATCTCATCTCACAGGGAAGTAGGAAGTGAGTCACCAGCCTTCTACCAATCCCGGCTTCCGTCCTCCGATTACGCGTCAGACACGGTCCATTATGGAGTTGGTAAGTTTTTACCAACTACGTCGGTGTGGAAGCCACCTACTCTCCCATGTATTAAAGGCAAAATAATTATGATTTACAAAATATGTTATAGGAATATGAATTGAGTTTTATTTCACCTTACCTAAAAAGAGCTTCCATCTCCCAGTTGGTAAGACAAACCACATCACAGTCTTATACTCTCAGAATCCTTCTTTTTCCTTTTTTCTGAGAATATGATCTCCCCCTTTAGATCAAATAATGAATTATTCAGATTTCATACTTTATAAAACTATTGTTATAACATTGCATAAATAGGAGAGAGAAGATGGATATCTACTTTTTAAAATATTAAATCTGAACTATCTATTATTTGATTCAAAAGTGGAAATGAGATTTTGAGAAGAAAAGAAAAAAGAAAAATTATGAGAGTATCCAGATCCACCACATCAGATTATTAAACAATTATTTAGGAGATCACATGTTATTTTTATTAATTTATCAATTTATTCTTGATTAAAATTCATAATGGCCCTAAGGGACACTTTTTGTGATTCTACTAATAATAATCCTTGGATGCTAGCCTCACCTAATCTTCTTGTTCTTTCCGTCTCCCCAGCTTGAAGTCATCCCCATTTGCAAATCATCATCTTCATTCCAAAAATCATCATCATCAAATCTGAAACATTTTTTGTGAAATCGTTTTTCTTATAGCGTTAGCATTATCCTCTTTGACTCTTGTGCAAGTCCTGATAAAGGCTGAAACAACATCCTCCCTCTTTGCAATGTTTCCTTTAGAGCCCATTTGGTAAGAAGGAAATGAAAGAAAAGAAAGGGAAGAGAAAATTTTAATGAATTTGATTTTAAAAAAAATTAAAAAATGGAGTTAAAAATTTTAATTAAATTTTCCTCCTCTTTTATCTTACATATCCTCTTTATCAAAACTTTAGAATCTCACTTCTTCAATTTTTCTAATCAAACTCATTAAAATTTATCCTTTCCTCTGATTTTCTTGTAACAAACATAGGGTTAGCCTTATTCATTCAAAAAGTCATCATTATGCCGCGTCAATTGCATTCTTGCTTTAAATTTTCGAACTTTTTGTTGTGATTTTTTTTTTGACCTGGATGTGTATATTGAATTGAAGCCCTTTTTGGGTGAAAGTTGAAAATTCTATTTTTCATGGGTTATAGTGGAGAAAAGGAATCTATCTTTTCAAAAAGAAGTAGGACCCATGACTATATTTAAAAAATATATTTATGAAAAAATTATTGCAATTTAAAATTAAAAAATAATATTATAATTAAATATTTTTAAATAAAATAAGATAAAATAAATATAAAACAAAATATTTTCACAATTATTTTGTCATAAAAATAGTTATCATTAAAATGAATCATCTAGTGTTATTTTTGTTTTTTTAATAATTTATATGTGTATATATAATTGTTTGTGTAAAAAATTGTTACACCACACCACAAACATATATATATATATTAATTTTGCATATTGTTTGTAGGTTTATTGCAGATCAACTAGTGAAGTCGTGTGCACGCACCACATCGGGACCCCTAGTTCACCCGTGAAGAAGTCACTTTGAGGAGGAATTATATCATAGTTACATGTGACGGTACAAGGTGGCCTGTGAGGTGATGACATGTGGAGGGGTATCTTGTCCTAGATTTTTGCTTTACTAGCTTTCTTGGGGCTCAGACAAATATCAAATCTTATAATATAGTTTCATATATAAATGGGTTAATGCTTAGTCCATTAAACTTTTATTATCAAGATATAACTTCTCTTGACCTTTAATGAACTATATTCCTTATTTAATAGTTGGTTATCCTGAACAATATTCTTACTTATAATATACCTTTTGAAATGTTCTCCTTCCTTTTTTAGTTCCAATCAGTTATCTTACTTAATAACCAGTCATCTTGATCAAATATACTATTTATATATATCACATTTATGGACAACAAGGTGCCCTCTATGCCTCAATCATCCAATCCCACTTCACTAATTTTGCATGCATGGCCGAGACACACAAACATTATTATATATATAATCGCACCAATTGATTTTATCTCATTTCCAAGCCAAGCAATTTCAATTTCTAATTATCTATTAATTTTCTTAAACTTTGGTCTAACATTCCTCCAACAACCTTTCTAACAAATTCTATCAATTATCAATTTTATCCCATACCTTAATCGTTGGTTGTGCCATTAAGGATTCTCCTAATGCACACCTTTGAGATGATTTCCAAACACTGTAATCTTTAATCTACCGATTTAAAATTTCCATCCACCATTTGGAAACCTCAAGCAAACCTCAAACAATAATTTCAAGTCAATTCCTAGCTTAAATTCTTTCGTCCCCAAAACAGACACCAAAATGAAATATCTAATATATTAAAACCTCATACTTGAATTTCAATCAATCTCATCCTCAAACTCAAAATCCCAAACTTCAAATATCTACTCTACTCACCTAATCCCTTTCAAACTTTAACATTCCTCGAACAACTTTTCTTTACAAATTCTAAAAACTCCTATGTTTTCTATACTCATTCAATTACATAATTTTGCATGCATGGCCGAGACACACAAACTATTATGTATATAATCGCACCAATTGATTTTATCTCATTTCCAAGCCAAGCAATTTCAATTTCTAATTATCTATTAATTTTCTTAAACTTTGGTCTAACATTCCTCCAACAACCTTTCTAACAAATTCTATCAATTATCAATTTTATCCCATACCTTAATCGTTGATTGTGCCATTAAGGATTCTCCTAATGCACACCTTTGAGATGATTTCCAAACACTGTAATCTTTAATCTACCGATTTAAAATTTCCATCCACCATTTGGAAACCTCAAGCAAACCTCAAACAATAATTTCAAGTCAATTCCTAGTTAAATTCTTTGGTCCCCAAAACAGACACCAAAATGAAATATCTAATATATTAAAACCTCATACTTGAATTTCAATCAATCTCATCCTCAAACTCAAAATCCCAAACTTCAAATATCTACTCTACTCACCTAATCCCTTTCAAACTTTAACATTCCTCGAACAACTTTTCTTTACAAATTCTAAAACTCCTATGTTTTCTATACTCATTCAATTACAATCTTATAGGATTTCTTATCTTTTTACTTCCAAAATCATTATCAAACCACCGCATTTATTCAACTATCTCAAACTTGATTTAACCCTCACCTTGATCTTCCCAAATGTAGTTAATTCATCTAGAACAATTACTAAGCATTTGGAGCATCAAACAAACAACCTTGAATCCATTTTTAAGCTTAAAAAATATAATCAAATTCAACATCCCCCGATTATACAATGCTGTCCAAAACAGGGGGGAAAAAGAAATCCACAAACTCAAACTCCAACATTCCAGCATACCATATATTTGCCATTGATTCTCAATTCCCTATATAGTGATCATTTAAACAGGGGCATTATTCTTAACCCTCACCCTTCTAAGATTCATTTTTTATATACATGTCTATAATGTAACATTTTTATATATGAGTCTATAAACTTCCTATTAAAGCATCGTGCATTTAGACTCCTCGTTAACAAAACAGAGCAGCAACTTATACGCACACATATATTTTAGACTTCCTTGATCATCTAACAACCAAACCAGAGGTATTTTCTTAAATCCTTAAAGCTTCCAAGATCATTATCACGTCTCACACACATACTTCTACAATCACCATTTCCTATCAGTGCCCCCAAGCCACACACACACACCCGATAATATACATATATATACATATATATTTATCATGAGCCTTAACCATCATTTAATTGTCTCTGCTATGGTTTACTTAATTAGAATACTTAACTTCCATCTTCCACGGTCAAAACACAAGTAATCAAATACCCCCCCCCACCCCACGCAATGCTTCATTTTTCTCATTCACGCCCTTATCTTCTGAAATTCTCAAACAAATTTATTCAATG